TGGATATCCTTTGGATTAGGTCTGCTTTAGACCCCGTGTGATAAGGTCAAAATGGTATGTAGAGAGATCTTGTAGCAGCACCTTTGAGACTCACTGAAAGAAAGAGGTTGGACTAAAGTTTACTTCCTCAGATGCATTTGGTCTTCGGCTAAATTTGGTGCCTTCCATAGTAGGAGAATTCAAAGATATAATTGTGTTAGTCTGTAGAATCAGTATGGAGAGGGATCTTGTAGCACCTTTGAGACTCATTGAAAGAAAGAAGTTGGCAACATGAGCTTTCATGACTAAAAGTCTACTTCCTCAGATGCATTTGGTCTTTGGCTAAACTTGGTGCTTTCCATAGTAAGAGAATTCAAAGATATAGTCATGTTAGTCTGTAGAATCAGTACGTAGAGAGATCTTGTAGCACCTTTGAGACTCACTGAAAGAAAGAAGTTGGCAGAAGGAGATTTCATGGATTTGAGCCTACTTCTTCAGATGCATTTGGTGAATAGGAAATGTTTTTAGTTAGAAAAGTTTATTTCTTTTCAATCTTGGCTTGAATGGCTTAGAATGCTTTACTAACTTTGTAACTAAGGGCCTTTGCAGACTGACAAAAATAGTGCAAATTGAGTCCACTTTTAGGGTTAGGGTTAGTGCTAGGGGATCATGGGAATTGTTTTTTCCCCCTGAGACATTGAGTCTTCTCTGTCAGAGAGCTCTGGTGCCACAATAAACTACAGTTCCCATGATTCCCTAACCCTAACTGTTAAAGTGGACTCAATTTGCACTATTTCTGGCAGTCTGCAAAGGCCCTAACTTAAAAGCAACACCCTTCTTGTTTAAGATAACATCTTGTTATGTAGATTGCTGTTAAAATACAGCTCCCTTTATTTTACACACTTTCACTTTCCTTTCCTCGCTGATTGGGGAAAGGTAACGTCTCCGCAGAGTCGGAGGGAAAAGCGCAAGTTCCCATTGAATTACTAGGAAAAGAGGTTTTAAATCAATGGGGGGAGTGGCAGTGTATATGGTCTTTTGGGAATGCCATCCTACTTGGGCAGAAGCAGGAAGGGCACCCTAAAAGCTTGACAGCCACGCTGAGCTCCTTCGTGGAAAGGTTGCCCTGCTTAGCCTGCTTCTGTTGATCAAAATTTAGATTGTAAGATTCTTGGAGGAGAGACCTTCTCCTTTGGCCTCACGTACACTGAGGATTCTAATATCAGTGTAAATCAGAATATTTGTGCAGAAGATGAAATGTGGGTAGGAGTAAAGAGGTCCCAGTCTTTTCCTTCCTACATTGGGGACAGGGGCAGAGCAGACTGACCTACTGTCTGTTTTCCAGGGCATTAGGCCACTTGCCCCCCCCCCATCCACTCAGATTCCCAGACCGAGAACCCAGAAGCTCTAGTTTACCTCCCTTCATCCCAAAATTTACTTCATTCCTGTCCGGGAAAGCAGCCAAAGGGCTGATAAGACAGCTAGCTCTCAAACAAACAAAATCCCCCAGAGCAGCAAAGTCAGTGTTAACTACACAGTCTCGGAGATACACAGTAACTCTACCCCAAAGGGATTACCAAAAGGATTGTCAGACAGTCCGAGGTTCAGGGTATCAGATAGGCAGGTCGATAAGCAGTCCAAGGTCAAGGTTTCCGG